CTTGAAATCTTCTTTGGACACATCTTTAACTCCAATGAGCTCTCTTATGTCTTTGAACCTGACCCTTCCAAGTGCTTTAGTCAGAATATCAGCCTTGTGCTCTATTCCTGGAACATGTTCTACATTCACTTAATCATTTTTGACGCACTCCTTTACAAAGTGATATCTTCAGTGTATATGTTTGCTTCGACCATGAAACACCAGATTTTTGGTGAGTGCGATTGCATATTTGTTGTCAATTCGGACTGTTACCTTCTCACAAGGTGTCCCTGCAACTTCACTTAAGAGTTCCTGAAACCAACTTGCATGTTTTGCAGCTTATGTTCCAGCCAAAAATTCGGCTTCACACGAAGATAGAGCAACAATTTCTTGTTTCTGAAAACACCATGTAATTAGACAAGCGTTAAGATAAAAGATGTGGCCTATAGTACTTTTGCCATCATTTATATCCACATTGCGGCTACTGTCGCAATAGCCCACAAGTCCAACTTATGTTGCCTTCACACGTTTGAATGTAAGTCCATAGTTAAGAGTTCCTCGCAAATATCTCAAAACCTGCTTCAAAGCTGCTCCATGTGATTCTTTTGGTTCCTGCATATACCGACTCAGAACACCAATTCAATAAGAAATATCTGGCCTTTTGTGAAGCAAGTATCGAAAGCATCCAATGTTCCTTCTATACACCTTTTCATCGATAGTCCTCTCATATGTTGCTTCATACAGTTTCAAACCTGAATCCATTGGAGTGTGAACTGTATTGCACTCTGCCATTCCTGTTTCTGCCAAGATTTTAATCGCATATCTCTCCTGTTTCAATGTGCTACCTCCTTTATGCTGTAGAACTTCGATGCCAAGGTAGTATGTTAACTTTCCTAAGTCGCTCATCTCAAAATTCTTTGACATACCCTTTTTGAACTCCATGATCAAACTTAGACTTGACCCTGTGACCACAGATCAACCACATATACAGAAACCAAGAGCAAGTGCTCCTCTTCTTGTTTTCGATACAAGGAAGGTTCCTTGGTGCATCTGGTGAACTTTAATTCTCGCAGAATCTGGTTCAGCCTATCATTCCAAGCTCTTGGTTCTTGCCTGAGTCCATAAAGGGCTTTGTGCAGTTTATACACTTTCTTTTCAAATCCTTCGATCACAAATCCTTCAAGCTGAGCAACATAAACTTCCTCTTTCAGTTCACCATGTAAAAACTGCATCAAGGTGATGCACTTCCCATCCATTTGAGGCTACTAAAACAATAATGAATCTGATTGTATTAATGCGAGCTACAGGGGCGAATATCTCATCGAAATCTATGTTATGCCTTTGTACATACCCTTTGGCTACGAGCCTAGTTTTGTATTTGTGTTATGCTGCCGTCGAAGTGGCGTTTAATCTTAAAGACCCACTTTAAGCCGATAGCTTTTGTTCCTAAAGTGAGATTGACGAGACTCTAGGTTTTATTCTTGGTGATCGATGCCATCTCTTCCTTGCAAGCATCTCTCCACACCTTTAGTTCATTTGCCTCATCAAAATCCCATGGTTCCTCATTTATTGCAAGCAAGAGTCTTTCTCCTTCTATCTCAGCTAAACAAACAAAATCCTCCAAGTAGCCTGGCTTTCTCCTTGGTCTCGTTGACCTTCTTAATGTAGGCTGGTCTTGTACTTGTTCCTTGATGGTCTCAGTTTTGATTGTATCCTCCTCTGCAGTACCTTCATTGTCTGTATCATCGTTATTGTTTTCCTCTTCCTTTTCGGAGGTTTCATCTTCTCCTTTGCTGTTGCTTTCAAATCCCTCAAAATTAAGTGTGAACGTTCCAGGTTCATTGGTATTACTCCTTCATTGTTTGTTCCACTTCCACCTTCTTTTCTCGTCAAAAAGTACATCCCTGCTAACTACAACCTTTCTTATTTTAGGATCCATTAGTCGATAGGCTTTTGACCCTGGTTTTGTTCCTAGATGCATGAGTACCCTTGATCTATCATCCAGCTTCTTCAGGTGTGGAGCATCGACTTTTGCATAATTAATGCACCCGAATACACACAGATTTTCGATGTTTGGCTGTTTCTTCTTAAACGCTTCTTATGGTGTTTTGTGCAGCTAAGGATCTAGAATTGACTATTTCATCCAAATTATGGATCAAGCACTTTACTCTCTTCAGATGAGATTTGAAAATTTTCAGAGGTATGAAGAAATATTTGGCTTTTTGTTTGATGTTACGAAATTGCGGTCATCGAGTGAAGATACTTTGATGGCTTCTTGTACCAAACTTGAAGATTATCTAACACATGGGAAACATTTAGATGTTGTTGGTAATAATCTATTTTCTGAATTAAAAATGTTAAAAGAAGTTATACCAAGTTTTACTAAGAGCCCATTGAAATCTTAGACTTTCTGAAGAACGTTGATCATATGTATCCAAACTCATGGATCATTCATCGAATATTATTGACGATTCCAGTTTCAGTTGCATCTGCTGAAAGAAGTATTTAAAAGTTGAAGTTGATAAAGTCGTATCTTCGTTCGAGTATGTCGCAGGAGAAATTGAGTGACTTGACTATCTTGTCTATTGAAAGGGAGTTGGTTAAAAGTGTTGACTTTGAGAACTTAATTAATGAGTTTGTTGCAAAGAAGGGAAAAAAATTATGTTTTAAGTTTTGGTATCCTTATTTTTTTGTTGGATTATATTTTTTATTATTGGTTTTATACGAATTGAAACTATTATTTATTCAATACAATTTGGATTGATTTTAATATTTTATATGAATTTAATACAATAAGAGTCTTTTTTATAAGTTCGCTTACTGACTTCGTATCTTTGGAAATTGTTCTGTGTAAACGCATATATTATGTTCAGAACTAACAAATTTTCCAAATGCCTGATGATGTTACTAGCTTTTCGCCACTTCTTGTGCTATTGGTGTGACATGGTATTGGCACGTATATGTTTGAAGATCGTACGTACACGTACACGAATAAATGGAATTTGTGATACATACAAAACAAAAAGGATAATATTGTTTGTTGGAAAAACAAAAAAACAAGGCTGTTTAAAGAGGACCTTATGTTTATTTCGTTATTTGTCAGATCTTGTGTTCTTGGCACAAGTCGTTACAGCTTTACGCGTGTGATTAAAAAAATGGTTCGTACTTCGTATAGTTCATACGCGAAACGTTTGACTATTGCTCTCTATACTCTCTTTATATTGAACTTAGTTATAATTATATCATCTAAAAAAATTTATATTAGTTAAGTTTTTATATATTTATTGCTACTATATAAGGTTAATAACGCACGCGTGCTTTAAAAAAAATGAAACTCCAAGAAACACAAAAAGACAAAAGACGAAGCTGTGTACTGCTGATAAAGAGACCCCACCGATCCAAACCAGATATGTCAATGTTATGTGGTTATAACTTATAAATATAAGAATGAAACTAATATCGTCTGAAATATTTTGGGCTAACCGATTGAAGCCTAAGGGTTTCACATTAAACTGTTAGATCATTTTAAGACTTTTTGTCACTGTAGGTAGTGAATGTGATCGATTTCACATGTGCTGGGTCCTAAAATAGTGGATTTCACATGTTCAATCTCACTTGATTGTGATTCAATCTCACTTGATTGTGATTGAACGCGTGAATATTTTATACTGCGCTTGGAATTCGATTGGAACTAGAAACCAAGTGATATTATTTTTCATGAACTGACGTTTTAAATCTTAACGCAAGATTTTAATATTGTTTATTTTTTGGTTACCTTAAAACATCTTTATAATTTTCTAATTTAATATAAATAAATCGATGTTGTGTGATAATTACTTCTTTACTTCGTCAACAATGTTAAAATTAAAGATAATTATCATAAATTTCGTTTATCTATAAACGTGATGTTTTTTTTCATCCAGCTAGTTTAATGAATAGTTTAATAGGCTATTGATATTTGTTTTATTTTGAGGATAATTGTAACTTATATTATGAATAGTGGTTAACTAAGTCAAAGGGAAATGAAATAAGGGAAACTCTATAAAAATTGGAAAAGCAAAGAATGAGAACTAACATTTGCTGGAAAAGTTAAAAAAAAACATACAAAATAAAAAAATCTAAGAAAAAAGTAAAAACAAAGAGTTTGAATTTTAAGCCATATTTCACTTAATGTTAATAGATGTTAGTTTACTAATTCATTTATTAAGCAAAGATGTTATGGTCCTAACAAATATTAACTTTATAGAAGTTAAGTTGTAGTTGTCTTTTCTATTTATGTGTTATAAAGACAAATCAAAACATAAATCATAAAAATTAGAACACTAAAATGACAAAACGTGTGATTAAATGAAACAAATTGACATTTTTCTTAAGAATTTAGCTAGTTCGTGTTTTATTTTAGAACGTGTTACCACTAATATATATAACGTAGGGATCTATAACCTAAGTAATTTATCCATTTTTTTTTCTTTTTTGGTCAACGAAGTAATATATTTAGTTAAAAAGAAAAATCAAATTTCAGTTGACAAAATAAAAGGTAAGTTCTGATTAACCTATTGTCTTTATGGATTTAAATACAACATCCTTACATTCACATCACTTTCAATTAATTCAAAAAAGCAGCCGGAGAAACTAGACAAGAACAAAAAAAAACTCTACAAAACACTATAGAAAGAAAAAAGACAAGGAGGCTAAATGCCGATAATGTTTGACCAGAAAGTGGTAAAGAAGCGTTTATGTGACAATATACAATAAAATAAAATCCCAATTATATAGTTTTATTTTGTTCAACCAAACTCCCAAGTCCCAACAATATAATAAATTAAAAGAGCGAAGAGACTCTCGTTGGTCCAAGTCTGACATTATTCTACACCCGAACCTAAAAAACATCTATAAATACCTCATTTGGTTTATGCCCATGTTTCATCTGCAAATATTCTGAATACAACACCCCATATTGCACCAAAAATCACTTACCGCATATACAAAATCTTCACAACAATACACACACACATATCGATATATATCTATTTTTACACATTTGGAGAGATATTCAAGATGGATCAGTTTCTTGACGTGTCTCGGTTTTGCTACATGTTCTTCAATATTTTCGTCGTAGTTCTTAGCCTTATGTTCTTGAAGCTCTTTCTACGTTGCTGCATATTGCCAGTTCGAGCTCAAAAGAAGCTTAGAGAAAACGGATTCGTTGGTCCACCTCCTAGTTTTCCTTTAGGAAACCTTAATGACATGAAGAAGCTAAAGACGGCCTTGGTAGCGGAGAAGAGCAAATCTTCCATCATAATCAACCATGACATACATTCAATCGCACTTCCACATTTCGCTCTTTGGCAACAACAATACGGTAAATAATATCTCTCAATACCATAATTTTCTAGATCTAGTATCAATCCTTGATAATTTTTGTGATGGTTTTTAATCGTATAGAAGGATCATTTTCTTCTTAAGTGTGTAATTAAAACAACATTTCTATAATCGATTTAGCTAGCTACCAACATTTTTGGACTACTACTAAATGTGAATATTAACATAGAGAAATGGTTGTGTTATGTAATGCAGGGAAAGTGTTTGTGTACTGGCTAGGCATAGAGCCGTTTGTGTACGTGGCGGATCCTGAATTCTTGAGTGTTATGTCGAAAGGAGTATTGGGGAAGAGTTGGGGAAAACCAAATGTTTTCAAGAAAGATAGAGAGCCAATGTTTGGTACCGGTTTGGTTATGGTTGAAGGCGATGATTGGACACGTCATCGCCATATCATCACTCCTGCATTTTCCCCTCTTAATCTTAAGGTATATATGAGTAGATTTTTTTTAAAAAAAAAATATCAGGTCGTTTACATTGGTAAGAGTCCAAAAGAAAGAAAATTAATAAGATGACTAATCTAGTTCAACAATTTAGACTTTATTATATGTAGTCCTTTCCTAAAAGCACGAGCCTCCATTTTCCATGACATAGAAATTTCAAGGTCTTATGATGTTGAAAAGACTAGAATATAAGACTCATTCAAATCAAAATTTCTCTTTTTCTCATTACTTTTTTTTTTGAATTAATTTTCTTTAAACATAGACTATGACAAACATGATGGTGGAATCAACTTCAAACATGTTGGACCGATGGTGCATACAAATAAACTCTGGCAATCTCGAATTCGACATGGAGAACGAGATCATAGGAACAGCTGGTGAGATAATCGCCAAGACAAGTTTCGGAGTTCGAGGAGAAAACGGAACTCAAGTCCTCAAAAACCTAAGAGCCATGCAATTCGCTCTCTTCAACTCGAACCGCTACGTAGGCGTACCGTTTAGCAACGTTTTGGCTTTCAAGCAAACACTTAAAGCCAAGGAGCTAGGTAAAGAGATCGACGGTCTTCTTTTGTCCATCATAAACGAACGGAAGAGATCTCTGGTTGTCGAAGGAGATCAAGACCATCATCATCACGATCTTCTAGGAATGTTGCTAAAGGCCGATAAGTGGAAGTTTACGGCGACGGAGCTTGTGGACGAATGCAAAACGTTCTTCTTCGCTGGCCACGAGACAACGGCTTTAGCGCTTACGTGGACGTTCATGCTTCTTGCGATCCATCCCGAGTGGCAAGACACGCTCAGAGACGAGATCAGACAAGTCATCGGAGATTCCGAGATCGAGTATAACAAACTTGCCGGACTAAAAAAGGTACGTTACCAAACAATCCACGTGGTTTAATTAAAATTATATGCATGCATACACTATATCATAACTTTAGTCGACCGCGTTCACAAAATAAAGAAAAGAAAAATGTCTACCTAGGCATGTTCACACTATTTAATGCATATATGTAGACTGATAAGTACATAAATTAATGTTTAATGTTTCTGAAGAAAATAATTAAGTAAGAGATTAGAATTTTAATTGATACACATCTGATCAATGTGGTCAAAGTCAAGGGTCACATAGAAGTCCATAGAGCGCGTAGCCTATAACTAGTCAACGACTGCGCTGACCAATCATAGACCTGCCACCTCATCTCCACGTGGAAAATCCATTTCATAATGGAAATTCTGTTTGTATTTTTTATCCACAACTAAAACGTGTGTCATTAGTGATTAGTGAATAGCGATACACTTAATTAAATCTCTATTAACGAATACTGTAATTAATAAAATTTTGGAATAATGTTTTGGACAGATGAGCTGGGTGATGAACGAGGTTCTCCGGCTATATCCGCCGGCGCCGAACGCACAAAGACAAGCTCGGAGAGACATTGAAGTGAACGGTCGGGTGATTCCGAACGGGACAAACATTTGGATCGATGTGGTGGCGATGCACCACGACGCCGAGTTATGGGGAGACGACGTCAACGAGTTTAAGCCGGAGAGGTTCGACGGTAATTTGCACGGTGGTTGTAAGAACAAGATGGGTTTTATGCCGTTTGGTTTCGGAGGGAGGATGTGTATTGGTCGGAACTTGACCACCATGGAGTACAAGATTGTCTTGTCGTTGGTTTTGTCTCGGTTCGAGATTTCGGTTTCTCCCGGTTATCGTCATTCTCCGAAGTATATGCTCTCTCTTAGACCCGGTTTCGGTTTGCCTCTAATTGTACGACCACTTTAGATTACTACATTAACGCACAAATTTTAAGAAGAATTTTCAAAATAAAAATTTTAGATCAGAAATTAAGTTCTATACTTTTAACATGTGAATTTCCATGTAATTTCAATACCTTTTTTTTTAGTTCCTAGGAATGTAATTTCCTTTTTTTGGGTTCAAATGTAATTTTGCTACTTATTGCAATTAGTTATTTTGATGAGAATTTTTGTGTTATGGAAAAATCTATTATTTGCTTTTTATTGTGTATTTTGGCAACCTAAAATATGTGTTGAAGAACCCCTAGTTCGATTTTCACTTGGGATGGGGATGTTTTGTTAATTGTTCCGGCCAGAAATCTCTCATCTAAGAAATAATGGGTGGCTAAACTAATACAAAATTATGGTTTATGAAATTTAAAAATATTAGATAATAAAAGGACCGTTTTCGTAATTATACGAAAGCTTCGTATCAATATTCTTGTCTCGTCTATGAAGCAACGGGAGCAAAGAAAAGCGTAAAATGTAATCGCCTGGGAAAAATCAGTGATCAGGTCATGCGATTTTTGTTCGAATCGTAGGTGAGATATGTCGTCTACGATGGCTACATGGACGCCAAGCTCTCTCCAGCTCAGGATTGCCCTTAATCATGGTAGATTCAGAGCTGCTCCGGCGAGACCGAAGATGACGAAGCTCAGTCGCCGTCTTCGGATGTTATGCGTTGCGCAGAACACAGAATCGGGTCGCGATTTGGATGGGAGAAACGGGTCGGATCGTTTTCGTGGGTGGTCTGATTCGGGAGACGATGAGAAGACTGGCGATTGGTTTAAAGGTACGAAATTTTGCTTTCTTTTACGGATTTTTGCTTTCCACTCTCCAAGCAGCTGATTTTTTGGTTTGGGTTGATGAATTTTTCTTCAAGGAATTTGATTTCAGGAACCTTGTTATCTGGAGTAGCCGGAATGGTTCTTTTCGCTGGGCTAACTTTCGCAGCTCTATCATACAAACGAAACGTTTCAAGTATGCTCCTTAACCTTCTTCATTCACTATGATTAGCCATGAAAATTGATAGATCCCAAAAAATAAAGTATCGAATTTTGGTGAATGTTAAGGACCAAAAGTAGAAATGATGATGACCAGGGTTACTGAAAGTTCAAGTGATCATATTAGCACACCTGAGCATGAGGAAAATCATGCGACAGATCAAGATAACCAAGAAAGCTATAGAGGTATGGTCACTGACTTTATAACTTCTTTTCATCTTCAGACATTCGTCAATGATACCAAGTTTGATAGATTGTAGGACGATATGAACCTAGGTTATTGTGTTTCCATCTATCGAGTTCTTGGTTAAGCTCTTTGGTGCGAGATTTATAGAGCAATTTGGTCCTATACGTCATCTGTGTTCTCTCATTTTCTTCTTTGACTTACCTGTCAATGTGCTTGCATGGTTAACAAGCGTTCCCTTTTCTGGATGTTAGTTTAGATTTTCCAGTTTTGTCTCGGGATGACATAGATGTGGCGTCCGATGCCGCGGCTACAAGCAAAGGGAATCACGAGGTGGACAAAGCATCAGAAAGCCCAGCTGAGAGATACACATCATCGACAGAGTTGGATGGAGTATCTACACATGCCTCTCCAACCTCAGACGAGAAGCAGAAACTTCGCTCTTATACAGGAATACCTGCTCCTTCCACAGTTCCACAAGCAAACCCCTTAAAACCTATCTTTCCAACGGTTGTGGACCCAGTTCAAAGTCAAATTTTTGCAGCTTTACAAGCGCTAAAGGTATTGCTTTGGCTTTGAGATTATTTTGAACTACTCTAGCAATGCAACGATGTTTTGATGTGTTAAGAACTGATTGCATACCTGCTTAATTTTCAGGTTATTGAATCTGATGCCCTGCCTTATGATTTATGTACACGTCGTGAATTCGCTCGTTGGGTGGTTTCCGCAAGCAATGTTCTATCGAGGTAACCATCAAAAAATAAAATTTTCTCCTACTCGTGAAATATTATGAAATATTTCATTGCCTCACATCGTGAAAATATCATCATCGGTTACAGGAACTCAGCATCAAAAGTTTATCCTGCCATGTACATAGAGAATGTTACTGAACTTGCATTTGATGATATTACACCTGAAGATCCTGATTTTCCATTCATTCAAGGTGATTATTGGTTTTTTTCCTCTTAACATTGATGCTGAATCAGTGAAGGTTATGTTCAATTTGTTTTCTTCATTTTTCACTGGATAGTATAGGTTTGGCAGAGGCAGGACTTATCTCAAGCAAACTCTCTAACCACAACATGCCTTCTGCTGAGAGCAGTCAGTTTACGTTCTCACCAGAAAGGTAGATATGTTCTTGATTTTCATTCAAGCTTATAAGCTATAAAGAAAAGTGTAGCTTTAGCTATGTAATATCCACTCTTCGTATATCTCTGCAGCCCTCTTGCACGTCAGGATCTTTTGAGCTGGAAGATGGCTTTGGAATTCCGACAGCTCCCAGAAGCTGATAGCAAGGTTCTCTGACTATTCCTTCCCTTTGGCTTTGCCAAATTTAGTCATTAGAGCATCGTAAACCTTATACAACTCACGTTTCATTTTTCAGAAGTTGTACCAGCTTTCTGGTTTTCTTGACATTGATAAAATCGACCCAGAAGCATGGCCTGCCCTGATAGCTGACTTATCTGCTGGAGAAGACGGAATAACAGCACTTGCTTTTGGTGAGTGAGGTTCTCGCTTCTTAAGTAATAATATCTTTAAACTTTCACATCTAGGGCGTACCAGTAATAATATTTTTTGACATCCCCGTCTCCGTCTAGGGCGTACCAGATTGTTTCAACCGTCTAAAGCAGTTACAAAAGCACAAACAGCTTTGTCTCTTGCAATTGGCGAAGCTTTTGAAGTAGTCAGCGAGGAGCTAGCTCGTATCGAAGCAGAGGCTATGGCTGAAAACGTGGTTTCTGCACATACAGCGCTGGTGGCTCAGGTCGAGAAAGATATTAATACTAGCTTCGAGAAAGAGCTTTTAATAGAGAAAGAAATAGTTGATGCAGTGGAGAAATTGGCTGAAGAAGCCAAGTCGGAGCTGGCAAGACTTAAAGTCGAGAAAGAAGAGGAGACTCTTGCATTGGAGAAAGAACGCACGTCTATTGAAACAGAGATGGAGGCTCTTGCAAGATTACGAAATGAGCTTGAGGAACAACTTCAAAGCCTTGTGAGTAACAAGACAGAGATGTCGTACGAGAAGGAAAGGTTTGATAGACTTGAAAAGCAAGTGGAGGATGAGAATCAAGAGATACTCCGGTTGCAAAATGAGCTTGAAGTCGAAAGGAAAGCTTTATCCATAGCCAGGTATAGAAAATATCATCTTAAAATTTCTTCATTTCTTTGCCAAACAAAATAAAAAATGATCACGAACAGGGCTTAACTCAAGAAATGAATGAAATTTACATAGTGAGATAGAAGCAAAAGAGGATTAGACTGTAGTTTTCACTCTAGATAGAGACAATAGAATTTTCCTAATAGTTTGATAACATAGCCTCTTTACATTGATTAGTGAAAGTGTGAAACTCAAAAATCTTCATTTGGAGAATGTCAAAATCAAAATTAGAGAGGTCTGCTCTCCAGGTCATTTACGGGTTTGAGTTTGTTTTGCAGGAATTGGGCTGCGGATGAAGCGAGAAGAGCAAGAGAACAAGCAAAAGTACTAGAAGAAGCTAGAGGACGTTGGGAAAAGTATGGCTTAAAAGTAGTTGTTGACAGTGACCTCCATGAACAGACAACAACCGAGTCTACCTGGTTGAACGCGGGAAAGCAATATACCGTCGAAGGAACCATGAAAAGAGCTGAAAACCTGGTTGCTCAGCTCAAGAAGATGGCGAAAGAGGTAGGAGAAAAATGCAGAGAAGTAATCTACTTGATCATAGAAAAGATAGGTCTTTTGATCTCAGCCTTGAAAGAACAAGTTTATGGAATAGAGAACAAAGCCAGAGACTTCAAAATGAAAACCAAGTCAAAAGCTGAAGAAATGGGGAAACAAACGAGCTTGAAGATTGATGAGATCAGAAATATCTCTACGATGAAGGTTAAAGGGACTGTGGAAGAAGCTCGGCGAGTGGCTGAAGAGATTAGGGACAGACTTAGCCAGAAATTCAGATCCAAGTAGGTTTTGAGCTTAAGTTTATTTTCCGACAAAGAAGCACAAAAATGTGTCTTTTGTTCTTGATCCATCTTTTCCTTTGATTTTGATATTTCCAACACTTTAAATTATTTTGGCCTCTTTACAAAAACTGGTTTACTAGCTTTAGATTTGTCCTCAAATAGCTAAGTTTAATCATATCCTTAAACATAGGTATAAATAAATAAATTACTCTTTATGTTAATCTCATTAAACAAATAATCGTGAGGACAATAGACAACAAAAACACCGGTTCTGCGAATCCTCCACGTCACTAAACCTCTTCCATTCAAAGCTCCTTCCATCCGCCACGTGTCCCACATCTTCACTCTCTTTCCCTTTTATCTTTCCTCTCCACCTTAAAAATTTTCTCACCACATTTTCCCGAGAAAACAAAAAAAAAAACCAAAAACCCATCTTCTCTCTCAGACAAAAATCCAAAAAAAAACCACAAAAAACAATGTCTGGAGGTGTCGGTCCGACTTACAACGACATAGCCTTACCAAAAGAAGAAGAACACCACGGCTCAACAGTCGCCGGAAAAACCGCCGGATTCTTCTCGTTCCAACGACTAAACATCCTCGCGATAATCATCGTCCTCTCCGCAAGCGGTCTGGTCACGATCGAAGATTTTATATTCACACTCGTCACACTCATCTACTTCTTCTTCCTCGCCAAACTAATCTTCCCTCCACACAACAATCCCAATCGCGACGCTCCTCTCACAAGCCCCACCAACAAAATCTTCCGCGTCTACGTAGCATCTGCAGGGATCGTAGGGCTCTTGATTCCGATCTGCTACATCTTCGAAGGACTCATCGAGGACGATAAACGCGGCGTGAGCGCCGCCGCGCCGCACGTGTTTCTTTTGGCGAGTCAGGTTTTCATGGAGGGATTAGCCGCCACGTGTGGCTTCTCCGCTCCGGCTCGGATCTTCGTGCCGATCGTTTATAACGCGAGGAGGGTTTTGACGCTCGTGGAGTGGAATATGAGCGAGTTCTCTAGAGAAACTCCCGAGTATGGGACGGGGACGGTTTCTGTGCGGCGGATGTACGCCGGGAAAGTTTTGGCGGCGGTGAATTTAGGGGTTTGGTCGTTTAATATATTTGGTGTTCTGATTCCGGTTTATCTCCCGCGAGCTTTCAAGAGGTATTACGGTTCCGACAAGGAGAACTGAAACCGGTTTAGTTACTTCCCCAGACAGTAGTCACAGTGTTCTTGTTTTTTCTTCCTTTTTGGTTTAATCGGTCCGGTTTGGTTTTAGGATTAATCGAAATCTAGATGTATTTCTTGTTTTCTTTTTCCTATATTATTTTGATGTTTTCTCCAATATATCCAGTTTATGTAGTTGACGGTTTTATTAGTTAACTTACTAGTTACTACTATAAACGGGAAAAACAAGTATATATCAGCCAAAAAATAACAAGAAAATGAAAATGTTTTAGCGAAACTATAACGAAAGATAAACAATTATTTCACAACGCTATATGAATGTAACGAGATGTAACAATATTAGATGTAGGAGGCTAAGAACTGATCCAAGAATATTCCAGAGTTACTAAATACATCAGTGCAGAAGTTGTTCTTACAACAACTGCAAACCAAAAGCTAAGCTTATTTATTCAGTGTGTATAAGTTGTTAGAAACCCAATCTCTTACCTTTTTTTCTCACCATCTCACTGAGCCATGTTCAAAGGTTTGTTAAAAGGTTTTTCTTTGGTCCTTGGTAATGAAGAAGATGAAGAAGACCTGTTTATAATTTGTTAGCTGACTCCAGATCGTAACCCAGGGAAGAAACTCCAACTATTTCCAGCGACCTTCTCGATATTCTCTTCTTTCGTGTTGTCGAATTTGAATTCTTTGCTAGATCCAATCGAAGAAGAACTCAGCTTATGAATCCTCTGCTGTTCAATCTCTCTATCTCCAGACACTCTCTCCACGTTGTTCTCACGCTTTTGGAAGCTGATGCTTCTTCTCTCGTCCGTCTCAACCCGTTCATCGTTGTTCATTCTATCATGCGACCGATTCAGCTTGCTCGCAAGACAACGTGCAACGTCTTCACCTGTTAACTCAAACGAAACCCTGTGATCCGCAGCAACGACTTCAGACCCGTGATCAGAATTAGCCAGAGACGCCACCTCAGAGACCTGACTCGTCAAAGGCCACGTGGTGTTGTTGTTGTTGTTTGGTGTTAAGCTCTCAGAAACCATCCCTGGACCGTTTGGTGTCAGAGCACCTGAACCGTGTCCAACGGGAGTGATCGATCCAGAGCCAAACCTCGATCCCCATTTACGAGCTGTGAAGTGCTCAAAACCAAGAAACTTTGGTGGCTCACCGATTCTAAACTCAACCATTGGTGATTTACCAGGGTAAGGAGAAGATGTACCAGAGTTTGAAATCACTGAGCCAGGAGAGATTAAGTTACCACCACCAGGACTTCCCGGACACACCTGATTAGACCGGAACTCGTAATGTGACGACGAGAACTTCTGGTTCATTCCGCTACTATTCCTCCGAGTTAGCTCCAAGGAAGATGTAAGAAGCTGAGCAAAGGGAACTTCAGGGGAAGATGGTGTAGTTATGTGGACTGATGACTCTGGAGGTGGAGTGAACGGTGCGGTGGATGGTTCGGTTATAAAGGCGGAGAAAACCGGAGGAGTAACCGGTTGAGTTTCGTTAGCGTATGGTCCAATGGTAAAGACTGATTGAGGTTCTGTAGTGGAGAATGTGTTGCTGGTTAGAGACAGTGGACCAACAGGTGAATGAGAGACCGATGATGGATCTGATTGAAGAAATGAAGCTGGAGATGAAGGTGGTGCTATGAAAGGAAGAACAATTGATGACGAAGTGGCTGAGTTTTGAACTGTAACCACCGGTGCTCCTCCGGTTGCGACCGGTTCAGGTACAACAAGCATAGCATTTCCGATCCGTTTGTTGTTCTTTTGAGATCCGAAACATGAGTTTAAGCTCCAACAGTTTCTCCACCTTCTCTTCTAGAAAGTCAAAACACCATGAAATTAGATTCCCTTTGAAGAGACATAGAGATTACTGTTTTCACCAAAACTTTCTCCAAGTGAAGCTTTTGATATAAAGTGACAAAGAACACTAAAGTTACCTAAAACATTGTAGCTACGCTTTTTGGAGGAAACTATACAATAACTGTGGAAATTACCAAACAAGAACACTTGAAACAGAAAGCTTTAACTTTTAATCATGAATGCTATTATGACTTGTAAAGCAAATCCACAATATAGATTGAAAAAGCAAAAGCAAAACACATTTGCTTTATCAAGCATAGTCATTTTACCTTTTACGAGAGAATAAAAAAGGTAAGAAAGACGTGAAATCAAGTGAGAAAAAAAAAATCACACGAACTAAGCTCACCGGTTGCATAAATCTTAGCTCTGATCTAACAAATCGTAACTTGTACAGAAAAAAAAAAAATTCCCAAAATGAAACATAGAACGAAATTAGAAAGTTGGATCTAATTTTGAGTAATTGTAGCTAAAAATCAAACTCTTTACAGCTTAAATCTCAAATCGAAACAGCAAAAATCCAGAAATTCACACTAAGCACAGATCAAATTTTCACAGCAATTTGACCACAAAAGCTATAAATCTCGGAATCACGATCTACCGTTAAAAAGACATTTCAAAAACTCAAAATTCTGAAAAAAATGAAGAAGCTAGTGGTACCGGCACAGACGACGGCTGGACTCGAGACTCGGCGGTGACGATGGCGGTTGCGGCGGCGTTAACAGTCTCAACGCTATTATTGACATTCCTCATCTTTTCGACTCAGATTCACCGATAATAACATCCAGATTTGGTTATTCACACCACTACTTGTGGATGGATCTCTCAGAGAGATTTTTCCCGAGAAAGAATCAAAGCGAACAATTCGAAAACTAATGATCTAGAAAACAAATCAAAAGCAAAGATTATGATGAGATGAGAGTCTCGCTCCTCTCTCTCTCTCTCTCACTATTCTCTATTTCTCTCTCTGTCTCTCTCGGAAGGGTCCCAGTCTCTCTCCAGTCGTTATCTTGTCCAGCTTTCATTCAATTTCCCACGAGCTATTGCCACGTCATTTCCTTTCCTACGCGCTTCTTTTTATTTATTTTTATTTTAGTATGTAAAATGAATGAAAAAAATAAACGATAAATCATTCATTTTTCATGCTAAAAATTAATAAAACAAAATCATTCATGAGATGATTTATCGTTTATTATCTTCAATCACATAATAATTTTGGAAGGTAATCGCTAATTAAGATTTAAAGTGAAAGAGACATTCAAAACAACCATTTTTCCAAAAACCATTATTAACCAACATTGGAAACAAGATTGTGTACACCAAGAGAAAATATTGACGATCGTGAGAAAAGGAGCTTTGGTTTTTATTTATTTCATGAGCAAAGTCTTCTTGTTCTTTAGAGAACATGATAATAATAGAGAAATTTATCAATATCATGTCAACGATTTGTCTTGGCGAAGTCCAATCCATTTGATTAATATTTTTTTGTTTTGTAAAGATTGCTTAAGTCAAATTGGTTTTTGAGACATTGTTTCCCTTGTTTTTAAGTAAAAGAATTGGTTTTTTTGAGACAATAGGAATACAAATCTTGTGAAACTGTATCGTCTATGACATATGAAGGAAAAAAACGGGTACTAATTATAGAAAGATTATAGAATAATCCGGAACTCATTAAGAGATTTGTGCAAAGCATTCTCTTTCTATATAATCAAAGCTTAAGATTTTTTTTTGCTAACTAGCTTCAGATTTATGAAAGTGAATATACTTCTTCCCATACAAAACCTTTCATTATCATTTCTAGAATACAAAAAATTGCGTATACACTAATATCGTAAAATAATAACGTTGTCTAGTTTCTATATGTAGTTTTTAATTTGTCTTTAACTATATTGTTTTAAAATGGATGGTTATAGTCAATTTTGTCAAAAAAAATGGATGGTTATAGTCAAAGAAAAATACAATAGTGGACTGTGCGAAGAGTTGACCAAGCCGTATGTATGCATATGATATGGGGACCGATCAATAAGTGAGGTAACATGAATGATTAGCCGCTTCATCATTGGCCTCCCATGTGACTCCTCTCAATTTTTAAGTTAGTTTTTAATTTCATTCTTTATATAACGAGAAGTCGAGAGTTATTGTGTTCTATACAAAGAAAATGTAGTTTTGACATGTAGTTTTCTTGTCTACTGTTCCTAAAATAATCCATTTCTTAAAAAAAAAATGTTAGTCTTCAATTGTCTGATGAATTGTGTGCTTTTTGTAACTAAAAAGGAGAAAGATCGGACACAAAAAAAAAAAAAACGCACGTGCGCACACCCATCTTCTGTGTTGGCTTTTTGAGTAACCCTCGTGCGTGCGTAACTGCGTATGACGGCCATTCCTTTTCCGCTTTTGTTTTTTTCCTCCTTTTTAACTACAAGGAAAACGAATTTACTCTTTTTATTTATTTTTACTTTTTAGGATATGAACCATATTGTCATAGACTCATAAAAAATATTTGATGAAAAAAACCATATTGTGATAATCAAACTGAAATTCAACTTTTCTCTTCGCTGTTTATAAACATATCATGTTAAATGGAATACGAATCAAAATATGAATCAAATAGGTTGTGTAACTTCATAAATTTCAAATTGCTTGGTTTTGTATGTTTATAAATTCAACTCTCTTAGTTTCACATCTTTAGAAAATTAAAAACGTTCAACAAGAGTGTACCATGAAACTAATAATAGTCACTAGCTAGATTTCGATATGTGTCGTTAATTTGGATTTTGATAGTTATATAATTTAAAGTGCTTATTTTTTCCCTTCTAAAAGTGACAATTTCCATTTATAAGAAAAAATGTTGGTGATAAACTATAGAACTGAAACCGAACTGAATCTGGATCTAATAGGTACTCCTATTTGAGTAATGGGTACGTTCCAAAAAGAAAAAAAATACTCCTAATAGATATCGTATAATGTTGTTGCATTTTAAAAAAAAAAAAATCCAAGCTTGAACCATGGTTAACATTTCTATCACAGTTGCAAAAAATTACATTATCCTTTATTTTTTGTCAGGATTACATTTTTTTTTGACGTCTTGTCAGGATTACATAATCCTAGGTTTTTTATTGTAGATTTTTTTTGGGGGGGGGGTTAAATATTAATTGGAAAGCAATTGGGAAATCAGCTAAAGCTCAACTAACGTAACCTAGGCCCAAATATAATTTGGTATCCTTCCGTCTTTAGGGCCCATTTTCCTTGCAGAAGATTGGAAAAACAATGTTTCTGTGTTTGCAACTTTCTCATTCAGATTTTCCAAAGGATAATTTAGACTTTTTTTTTCATATCACATTTGTTTTTTGTGTCCATTGGTGATGAAGGTGAGGAAGTGAGTTATGGCTTAGATTCTTCGAAGCTAATCACGAACTTATAATACAATCTCGAAGCTGCCCATGGCCATGGCCTTTCAGATTATAGCTTCGTCTTCTTCTTCACCAACGATTACGAAATCTCACCTTATCTCCTTTCCTTCTCTGCAACCTTCTTATAAAGCTTCGAAACTTAATCACTCCTCATGGTTTTCGCTCATGGGTTCTTCTCGTTTCTCTCCCTACATTGGTCTAAAGCATATGGGCATCTCAATCTCTCCCAAATCTTCAAACCCAGGTGTCGAATTTCTCTAACTCGTCATAAAGTTGATTCCTTTTGCAAAAATCTGTTCAATTTTGTGTAATCGGGTGGTTCTGTACAGAGAAGAAGAGAAGATGTAGTAAGGGTATGGTGGTTCGTGCGTCTCTGTTTGGCGTTGGAGCACCTGAGGCTTTGGTTATTGGTGTTGTTGCTTTGTTAGTCTTTGGTCCTAAAGGCCTTGCAGAGGTTAGTGTCGTGTGTGTGTTAGACTTCTTGATGATTGATTTGATACATAGCTTTTTAAGGTTTATGCAGCTTAGGAATTGGAGAATTGGAGTATAGATAAGGCTAGAAATGGATGCCCTTTTGGCTTAATTGAGTTTGAATCTCTCTGGATTAAAACCGGAATCTTTATCAATTAAGAATTCCACAAATCTTGCGACTTCTTTATAGAGCATTTGAGAGTATGAGTTTTGAGAAATGAGAAGAGAAAGAGCTCTGTTTCTTCTCCAAAATGGTAGTCTTTTAGCGTTTTGTTTTAAAACTTTGAACAAGTGTCTACTTGCTATGATCCGTGCAGGTAGCTCGAACTCTTGGCAAGACCCTGCGTGCATTTCAGCCAACGATTAGAGAGCTTCAGGTTTACTTTCCATTCATTTATCTCAGGCAAAAACGAGGCCAGTTTTTGATTGCTTTACATGGCTGTTTTTGTTAGGATGTTTCAAGAGATTTCAAAAGCACCCTTGAGCGTGAAATCGGCCTCGACGAAGTCTCAACGCCTAATGTGTACAACCCGAACAGAATGAACCCTGGTCCTCCTCGACCACCACCAGTTCTTAACACTGAAGATCCTGTGACTGCAAGTGAACCCAGTGAGTGTTCTATGTTTGCTATGCTTATGCTAAGGATTTGACTGAGACATATGAAAACAAGTAGTTTGATTCGTCTAGACCACGAGCTGTTTCATGCAATGTCTGATCTGTAACCAGACTGTTACTGTTTTCCGTATTCCTTGAAATAAGCAGATGATGCTCAATCACCAAAAGCTTACACAACCGAGGATTATCTCAAGGTCACAGAAGAGCAGCTCAAAGCTTCGTCTCCCTCCGGTGAAAGCCAAACAGAGGATCAAACTCAAACTCAAGAAAAGCTAAAACCTACAACTGTACAAACACCAACCGAAGGAGAAAGCCAGCCAGAAGCTTAGTCATGGGTAAAAACGAATGATCAGCAAAATAAGAACTCTTTCCATCATTTTCCAAATTGTCTAAAGCCGGGTTTGTTGCAGGTACAGCGAGAGAAACAACAGCTGCATCCCCTCCAAGACAAGATTGAAAAGCACCAAAACTTGACTTGTAGTGTTAAAAACATAAGCCTCGCACCATTGAGAAGTTTCGGAGGGATTTTTTTGATCTGCCAAAAGAGACGAATGCAATTAGTTCTCAGGACATTCTCACAAAGCATTCTGTGTTTCTTGATGAGTTGTGTGTATTTTTATGTTCCTTCTTAATGATAATTGGGTTTTATTAGGCAAAGCTTGGCCGTTAATGATATTCCTAAATGATTAATACAAACCATTTTTATATTCTTGTAAAATCAACGAGACAAAATCTGATAGAAAATAGTTTTATATAATTTCAAGAATGAAACAATCAACATATAATGTTTATTACAAATAAACAAAATAAAACGGTAATACCTAAAGGATTAGAACGAAGTTAATTAAAGAGTTTAAAAATTAAAACCCTAATTAACCACGTAGACATGAAACAATTTAAGCTATTGGAGCCAAAATGTCACAGAAGTCGTTGTTAAGACCGAACACATCGTCGTTAAAGAGATTTTCCCAAAAGCTCTTCTCATCATCATAACCACCGACATCATAGACCACAGGCTCTGTTGGTGTTTCTTGCGTTAGACTCATTGAGCTGTTCGTGTCATCCTTTGTTTTCCATAAGTCGTTGTTAAGACCAAACTCATGTTCGTTAAAGAGATTTTCCCAAAAGCTAGGGTTTTGATCAATTTGCGATGAAGAAGCTCCGGCATTGATCTCGTCGAGTGAAGATGAGTAATTTGGGTCCTGATCACCAAAAGAAGCAAATTTTGAATTAGAGATGTCGCTGAGAGAAGAAGCGTGGGAGCTTTGAACGAAATCAGAAACAAAGCGTGAAGAAGAACAAGTGCTAGGGTTTTGCGAAGAAGAAGTTGAAGAAGAAGACACGCTATGGATAGTCTTGTCGAGAGAAGAAGTGTTAGGGTTTTGATCGAAACCAGTGACAGATTGTGTTTTTTGTTTCTTCTCAAGACAAGCCATCAAATCTTGTTTCACTCTCTCAAGACGTTCCTCGATGAGATTTATCTCGGAGAGATCGTCGCAATAACGGTAGAGATCAGGGTCTTGCCACCAAAACCCTAGCTTGGTCGTCGTTTTGAGAGGAAGCTTGCCGTTGAGGTAACAATCGGCGATCTCGGAGGCGGAGGAGTAACCGGAGAAGGAGTAAACAACATCAGAACTCTCGGCGGGAGAAGTTACGAAGACTGCAATGTTGGCTCCAGAGAGACGGCAGAGATCGGCGGCTTTAGAGAAAAGTGTTTTCCGGCGTTTAGAACAAGCCACGGATCGTTGTTGTTTAGTCTCGCGTTTCTCGATTTCGATCTTCCTCTTTGTTCCTCTCATTATCATTCTTTCGTCTTCTGCAACCAAACACAAATAGGGTTTCAGGTTTTCTTTTCTTACAGAGTTTAAGAAAAATTGTATTGGAGGCGACAAAGAGAAAGAGAGTGTGTCCACAAACACAACACAAGCAATATATATAGTGTAGTCCACAAAGCAATTTCACAGTTTTAACAGCTGCCAATCAGATTGTTGTTTCCTTTTTTCATCCTACAGTGTTAACGGTCCTTTTTATTTTATTTTACTTTTTTCTTAACTCTTTTTTTTTTTTTTTTCTAAAGCCACAACGTAAAAGAGGCTAGGATTTGTGTTTCAATTTTTTTTACTAATACCGTTATAGATTAATTTTTTTTTTTTGTTTCAAAATTAAATAATACTAACTTAGTCTTCTAAATACCATGATTATTTAACAGTGTGTATATGATGTTTTTATTATTTTATTTAGATAATATTTAAAATTATGTTGGGTCATTCCCTTTATCTTCAGTAAATAATGTATTATGCATGAATATAAATTATATTAATAGAATTATTGGTATTCATAAATGTATATAGTCTAACCACAGTATTCCACTAACTAAATGAACTGAATTTTTTGTTTTTACGAGAAACTGAAATTATTTATAAAACTGTGTATGAAATAAATGAAAATTATATAGGATTCTCAGTGATAATCAATAATGAAATCAAATGAAATTTTTGGCGTTGTAAAGTTCACACTGAAAAGGAACACAAAGCCAGAGGTAGTAAAGTCTCATGTAAGGTTTATAGGGGAATAAATTTTGAAATTTTTTCTGTTTTGAAAATATATAACAATGTATCAATTATGAGTGTAAGTGTAACTAGCTAGTGACGGCTAAATGTAATTTCGTAAGAAAATAATAGTTTAATATATGTGTTATTATTTTCATGAATTAAGATAATTGTATCGTTTTATGATCAGGATAAAGTTTTAATATATGTCACCCTATTTTCAAAAAAGAAAACGCACCCTATTAGCCTATCTTCTAAAGCTTATAATTCCGAATGGAGATGTGACAAACGTTGATTTGTGTTCGTAGGAAAATACTTTCTTTTTTACTTATTTAATAAATCATAATATATCATTAATGAATAATGATCCCCAAATGATAAAAATTCTCAATAGCTCTCAAAATACAACAGCTGATCCGTTCTCGATGGCAGAATCCTTCACACCTGAAGAAGACTCAACTCTTTTTGTAGCTTTCTTGGTCTATCCATTAAAAAATAAACAAAATTATATCAAATGAAAACGTATAGACGAAATAAATGAAAAAATGGAAAAAGGAATTTTTGCTACACTTCATTTTCTTTACCTCTTCATCCCAATTTGTAAAGATCGTGACAAGGGAAAGACATATAACTTGAACAACGAGTGCACATATGATTCCAAGCCAAAGCCCCTTCAAATGAATATTTTTATATGTTAAACATTGAAACTAATTAACTAATTCGAAAATAATCTGAAAGTTGGGTTAATTCAATTTAATTTAATTTACCCGACCACCAACGTGAAAATGAAAACCAAGTAACAAGCCTGAAGGAACTCCGACAAGATAATATGATCCAAGATTAATGAATGCTCCTATCTTCTGCCACCCACATCCTCTAGCAACTCCTATTAACCGGAAAAAATAAACAAACTTAACCAAAGATAACCGGACTTTAACCAAGTTCGTGATGATAAAGAGTCTTCTGTTTCCCTTTACTTGCAAGCAAAGAAAGAAAATGAACCTGAGAGAACACATTGTAGATTGTCTAGAAAGTTGCCTAAGGCGAGAATCGGCATCATCGAGGCTACGTAAGTGACTACTCCCGGTTCACTACTGTATGCCAGTCCCCATATATTCCTTATCAATATCAAAACAGATCCAACCACTATACTTTCAGCAATTGCAATGCTCACGACCACACGCACTGCAAGCTTAGCCACTTTTGGATTTCCTGCTCCTAACTCGTTTGACACCCTCGTACTGCGCAGATTTCAAAAGGATATTTAATGATTTATATAATGAGTTTGGTATAAGGTTACATTATTCGGTTAATATTTGTTTTACCTTGCCGCGCCACTGAGACCAAATGGGATCATCCACACTATTCCTGCTGTGTTAAGGCTGCAAGAAACTGATTAAACACTCTTGACGATAATCAAAGTTATTTATGTGTATAGCTCTTACCAGATTGAGAGGACTGAAGTTTCTAGAACGGGGTTCGGAAGAAGTCCTGATAAGAGAACCAGAAGCTCAAAAGACCACATCTCTAAGCTGTTCTCAAACAAAGAACTAGGATTTAAGATGGATTGTTTCATCAATAAGCCTGTCTCATTTTTCCATTTTAACTTACCAGACCATAAGTGCAGAAGGAATAGCTAGTCTCACAAAAGGGAGGATATCATGCAGAGCCTCCTTTGAGAAACCAGTCCAAGTCAGTGAGCAAGAAGGCGAAAAGTTGACGTAAGAGAACATTAGAACGACATTAAGCCAATACGAGATAGAGTTAGCCACAGCAGCTCCTTTAAACCCTAAACCAGATTTCAAAACCAAGACCCAACAGAGGAGCACATGAAGAGAAGTGGTGATTCCAGAGCAGATAACTACAGGAAACACATTGTTTTGGGCTTGCAAAAACCTGTTGAAGCATTGAAGGAGCCCGTAAGCGAAGATGCTTGGGATCATGAATCTTGCGTATGAGCCAGCGAATGAAGCAATGGATTTGTCTTGTCCGAAGAAGACGAGGAAATGCTCTGTGTTATACCAGATGATGGAGAGAGGAACAGAGAGTAGTGTAAGAACAAACATTGCTCTTTGCATTTGTATCCCTAACAAACCGTACATCTTTGCTCCGTATGATTGGCCACAAAGTGTATCTAACGCACTTGCTGTTCCCATCTGTTCATGAGGAAATGGAGATAAAAGTGAATTCAGTGTACTTTTCTTGCTTCACAAGTAAACGGCCAACGCAATTGGTTAATTAATTTTTTTACTTTTTAACCTGTTTACATCACTCAATATTCTAATCACACGACATGTGAGTTTCAAGCTAAAGTTGGAAAAAGAAACAACAGATTTTCACTTAAGCATTCATTCAAGAAAAGAAATAAAAAAAAGTCTTAGTTGTTATTTAGGCAATTTAACTTTTGTCCGTAAAATGACAAAATGTCTTTTTGTTTTGTTTTGTTTTTTATGTTAAATCTGTAAGAGTGGCAGAAAAGATGCTTACGCAACTTGGATATTCAAACAAGGTGGCCTGATATGTCATATGTGAATCATTAATCATTTATCATTTTACAGGTATATTAAAGGTTTAAAACAATAGAAATAAAACATAGCAAGAACCAGTGGTGCATGTATAGGAAAAAAATCAAGGAAATTAAATAACCCATTATCTAAATTAAGACACATGTATCTATGTATAGATAGGAGAAGGTAAGTAAAGAAAACTGACGAGGAAGCTGAAACCGGTGACGGTGGCGAAAGAGGTGGCGATGGAAGCAGCGGAGAGAGGAAGAGAGCCAAGATGGCCTACAAACATGACGGAGATGACTTGCAGACAAAACTGAAGAAGACTTACGCCGATGAGTGGGCCCGACAACCATAGCTGCTTCTTCACTTCTTCCTTAACACTACTTTTCTCCCCTGTTTCTCCGACCAAAGGCAATGACAATACATCCTCTTCTCTTTCTCTATCCTCCCTCATTTTTTTATTTTATTTTGGCAGAGAAATAGCAAAGATGTGACGAGTAACGATCTTTCTCCTATCTTTAAGGGTTTTGTGTTTGATTTGCTCTCTCTCTCTCTCCCTCTCTCTCTCTCCCTCTCTCTCCCTCTCTCTCCCTCTCTCTCTAATAATGTGTGGTGTGTGGGGATTTGTACGTTTATAAAAAGGCTTTTATAATGCTTGCAAACTCAAAAGTGTTTTGAAAAAAAAACCAGCAAGGATAAAATAAATCTGAACAACTATTAGTATTTCAAAGTTTTTAACTTCTTATATCCGTCTTCTTATTTCTCACACTTTGTATTGTCTCTCCATGTTGTGCCGCTTTCTCGTTTTCTATAATTTTGTCCCGCTTTATTTTGTTTTATTGACTTTTGCTACCCAATTTCAAATAGCCATTAAGATGGCGACATTCTCCTAAAAAATCAACAAAGAAGCAACAGATGTTCAAGAAGTTAGAATATGTTTCCATATGTTCAAAAGCATGTCAACTTTAGTTTGACTGAAATTATCTATGACAGTTTCTCAAGAGAAAATATCTTTGGGCTGTGTATAATGACAACATTAGTAGTTGTAGAACTTGCAAATAAGTAACGACAAATAATAATAACTTTATGATCCTTGATACAGATGTGATTAAGAGATCTATATTGTTTCATATCAGCAGAAGCTGAGACATATATTGTTGAAACTCTATACATAGAATTTAACTCCTTTAATATCATCTCTTTCTCTTCAAGATTGAAGGTTGATACTAAAGTGATTGTCACTTCCTTTAAATACTTTGAGGTTGCAAGAATGTATCTCATGAGCTGTTTCTCTTCTTCAATTCCACTATATTCATACCATTTAAAGAACTCTAGATGGGACGACAAGCATCTGGGAACAAAACTAGGCTGGTTCCAAAACAATGTGGGTAATTGATATCCATTTACCTGGATCCAAGTAGATCAAATTGAGTAGTTGGAATCAAAGAATCACTCTTATGCAACAAATAAATTTGCTTTGTTACTTACAGAACATATATCTAGAAGTTCTAGTTTAGGAGACTTGTTGAGAATTATTGGAATTAGATCCAACCAGAAACTCCCATCTAGACGTAGTACAAGCTCTTGAAGTCTAGAGAAGGTATAGCCACCAAAATTCAGAGCCTCAAATGACTAAAATTCACAAAACAAGATAAAGCAATGTCATGATTACACAAACAGCTGCAAGAAAAAGATAAGAGTTAGAAATCAAAATTGATACCTCTGGACTTTTCAAAGTTAAATAGAGAGTCGTGACAAAGGGAATAATTCTTTGAAACTTGTCATGACCATGACAAAGAACAAGGATATGTGGATCATCATAACGAAACATATCATAGCGAAACATAGTCCCAATCGTGTGTGTAGTAGCTCTGGCAATCACAGCTGCCAAGGCACACTTCCGATGGAGCAAGAAGTGAGCAACCTGATAAAAGCTTGACAAGTGAATCTTCGTCTTTGTAGACCACAAAAGAAAGCCGCAATATTTTGAGAGACGGGAGGCAAGCCGAGGATGGAAACATCAACAAGAACCTTGTTGGAAAGAGTCAATTCCACTAGCGTTTTGCAGGTGTAGAGGCTCTCAGGTAAGCTGGTAGGCTGCGTGGGCTAGAGAAGCTCCATGTCTAGCTTTCACACAAAGCGATCAATAGAATTTGCAACCCATCTTGCGACATCTCCTTCAATGGGACATTTCCGACCGAGTCCGATACACAAAGTTTCTAAGAAAGGTGCCTTGTGATGATCCAATGACTTTTCAAGAAACTTCCAAACGCTTCCGCTTTTCATTGTTTTTGTACTGGAGTTTAGGTACCATCGTCCACAGAAAACGCCATCGTTTTGACAAGAGTATGGTGGCCACTGCATCTTTAGTCGAGACAAGAGACATGTGAAGGTGTTGTCGTTTTGGACTTCACACATAAGTGATAAGGCTCAAATTCATTAGTTGGACCGAGTCCTTTATATAATTAGTTTGGGCTACTTCTATTGATTAAAACCCAATAAGAAATTGAGCCTTTAAAAGGCAACATAAGTCAACATCATCTTCATCGCGTGGAAAAATATAACAGATTAGAGAGAGAAAGTCGAGTACAGAGCAAGATTCTCGGTGATCGTCGGTGATTCGACTATGGTTGCTCAGTGCGGCGTCTCCGGCGACGGTTTGTCCTGAAGACTCTAGGTTCTCGTTCGGATTCATACTCTCGTCGAGTATTCTCCGCGAGCTTACTTAGGAGATAACTGTATCGAATAAACAGCTTGTTAGTCACTTGTATCTGGAGATTTGGTATATAGTGCAAGCATGGTGGTTTAGTTCCACTCCCAGATGTACCGAGAGGGAACTGGGTAAACAAATTGCTCTTGAGTTCTTAGATCAAGTATTAGTTTAAGAACTAGTCAAAGATTCAATCAAACTAGAGTCAAGATCACGAACTGGGACTAAGAATTAGTATCGGACTTGAGCAAATTCTTAACAGAGTGGTATCAGAGCGTAGGTTAAAGACGCTGGAAGATTAGTGGTGTGTAATCAGGAGAAGTCTGTGATCGTGGATCTAGATTTCTTGATTGATTCTGGTGTGACGAGAGTTGCTGAGATTTGGTACCGGATCGATTATAACTAGTGTTGAATTTGGGATTCTCTCTGGGTGTAGTCTTCTGATCAAGAATGGAAGCAGTTCAGAAGTTTGAAATGAAGAAATTTGATGGTAAGGGTGATTTCGGAATATAGAATTTTCGAATGCTAATGCAGCTAGAGCTTCAAGGTTTTGGCAAGCAAGTTAAAAAAATTTCGGGTGAGCTGAAACCGGATGCGAAAGGAAAAGAAACCGAGAAAGTAGATTCAAAGACTGGAGTTGCTTTGACTGCGGATCAGATCAAAGAAAGGGATGTGAGGGTCAGAAACTTGATCTGTTCACGTCTCACATCCATGGTCTTGCGAAAGGTTATGAAGGAAACTACTGCTGCAGGAGTTTGGAAAGCCTTAGAGACTAACTATCAAACTAAAACACTCCCTAACCGAGTATATCTCAAGCAACATTTTGCTAGTTATAAGATGGAAAAGAATAAGTCTATAGACGAAAATATGGACGTGTTCTTAAGGCTGGTGGATGAGCTGCAAAGCCTGGGCATCGAAGTAAGCGATGAGGATCAGGCAGTTCAAGTTTTGTCAGGACTACCCGAACAATATGCCTCACTGGTTCACACGTTGAAGTATGGCAATAAAGGGAAGGAAACACTGACTCTAACAGAAGTAGTTCAGTCAGCTCATGCCAAGGAGGTGGAGCTAAGGGATATGGGTTTATTGAATAAACTGAGTTCAGGAGCTGAGGGCCTTTATGTTGGTCATGGAAAGCCTACAAAGAAGGCTGAAGGGTACAAGAACTGTTGATATGCCTTGTATCCTGATGCATAGAAGCTTTCTAGAGGATTCAAGTCAAGGTGGAGATTTGTTGGTATACCTTGAATCCTGAAGCGTAGAAGCTTCCTGGCGTTGATGCGTGCAGATGTATGCAGATGCATGCAGGCTGCATTGGCGTTGATGCGTGCAATTGCGTGCAGGCTGCACGATCAATTATACAGACTGCAGGATCCAGCATGCAGCCTGCGTGATCAAGCATGCATGTTACTTGCAGCATGTTAAGTATACATGCTGCGTCTTGAGGTTGTGTGTGTATGTTTACACACTGCACACTGAAGCTGAAGTTGAGATCTACATGCTGTGTAAGTTGATGTTGAAGACTACAGCCTGCGTGAGCTATATAGAAGTCTGCGTGCACTTGGGCCACTGTTTGTGCATGAAGGTTCCTACATGGGTCTAAGTGAGCGAGCCGAATTGCAGTTAGGGTTAACTAGGGTTCCTACTATAAGTATCCATGTTACTCTAATTTTTGATGTATTCTGAAACTTTCTGTCTCCGTAATAAAATCAGTCCCCTTTGTCCGTGGATGTAGCCAACGCATCGTTGGTGAACCACGTTAAATATGTGTGTGATCTTTACGTTTACTGTTTTCTTCTTGCATCCGTTACAACAAACTGGTATCAGAGCTCCAGGTTCTGGGAGTTTCCGCGTCTGGCAAGAAGATGTCTGGGTTAAACGTGAGTATCAACAAGTTCACGGGGAGGAACAGTTTCAGTCTCTGGCAGATCACGGTGCAAGCGTTGCTTAAGAAACAAGGCTTGTAGGCGGCGCTGTTGAAAGCACAGTGAAGAGCGTCTGGCTCCACGTGGAGCATCTGAGCCCGATGAAGGGCATCTGGTTCCGTATGGGGAATCTGAGCCTGTGAAGGGCATCTGGTTCTGCAAGGAGCATCTGAGTCCAGTGAAAGACGTCTGGCTCTACATCGAGCATCTGAGCCCGTTGAGAGGGCGTCTGGATCTGCAAAGAGCATCTGAGTCCCGTGAAGGGTGTCTGGCTCCGCATGGAGCATCTGAGTCCGTAGAAGGGCGTCTGGCTCCGCATGGAGAATCTCAGCCCAGAGGCGTCTGGCTCTGCATGGAGAATCTGAGCCCAGTGTGGGACGTCTGGATCCGCATGGAGAATTTGAGCCAGTGTGGGACGTCCTGCTCTGCATGGAGAATCTGAGTCCAGTGTGGGACGTCTGGCTCCGCAGTAGCATATGAGTTTGTTTAAAACGAATCTGGCTATGCAGGCAGCATCAGAATCCGTTGGGAGGGTGTCTGTCTCCATGGGAAGCATCTGAATATGGTGAAGAAAGTTTGTCTCCACAGGAAGCATCTAATTCTGTTGAGGGGATGTCTGGCTTTGCAGGAAGCATCTGAGCCTTGTGAAAAGTGTATGGCTCCACAGTAGCATCTGAGTTTGTTCAAAACGAATCTGCCTATGCAGGGAGCATCTGAGCCTGTTGGGAGGGCGTCTGTCTCCGCGGGAAACATCTAAGCCTTATGAAAAGTGTCTGGCTTTACAAGGAGCATCTGAGCCCAGTAAAGGGCGTCCGGCTCCACAGGGAGTATCTGAGCCCGTTGAGAGGATGTCTGGCTCTGCGAGCATCTGAGCCTGTGAAGGGTGTTTGTCTGGCTTCTCATGAGCATCCGAGTTAGTCGAAAGGCGTCTGATTCTGCATGAAGTCTGAGCATGTGAGCTCTATGAAGAGCGTCTGGTTCTGTAGGGAGTGTGAAATCTCCATGAAAAATGTTTGATTCTACATGAAGTCAAAGCTCAGTGAAGAGCATCTGATTTTGCATAAGGCATCTGAACTCAGTGAGGAGCGTCTAGTTCTGCAGTGAACATCTAGCCCGGAGAGGGACGTCTGATTCTGCATGAAGTCTGAGTATCTGAGCTCTATGAAGAGCATCTGATTCTGCAGGGAATATGTGATCTCCAAAGAAGAACGTTTGATTCCGTATGAAGCATCTGAGTTCAGTGAAGAGCATCTGATTCTGCATAAAGCATCTGAACTCATTGAGGAGCGTCTGGTTCTGAAGTGAACATCTGAACCTGGAGAGGGGCATCTGATTCTGCATAAAATTTGAGCATCTGAGCTCTATGAAGAGCATCTGGTTCTGCAGGGAGTATGTGATCTCCAAAGAAGAACGTTTGATTCCGTATGAAGCATCCGAGTTCGTTGAAGTTCAAGACTGGTTCTGCAGGGATTCTGCATGAAGCATCTGAACTCAGTGAGGAGCTTCTGGTTCTGTAGTGAACATCTGAGCCCGGAGAGGAGCGTCTGATTCTGCATGAAGTCTGAGCATCTGAGCTCTATGAAGAGCATCTAGTTCTGCAGGGAGTATGTGATCTCCAAAAGAAAGAACGTTTGATTCCGTATGAAGCATCTGGGTTCAGTGAAGATCATCTGATTCTGCATAAAGCATCTGAACTCAGTGAGGAGCGTCTGGTTCTGCAGTGAACATCTGAGCCCGGAGAGGGACGTCTGATTCTACATGAAGTCTGAGCATCTGAGCTCTATGAAGAGCATTTGGTTCTGCAGGGAGTATGTGATCTCCAAAGAAGAACGTTTGATTTCGTGTGAAGCATCCGAGTTCGTTGAAGAGCGTCTGATTCTGCATAAAGCATCTGAACTCAGTGAGGAGTGTCTGGGTCCGCAATGAGCATCTGAACCTGGTGAAAGGTGTTTGATTTCGCATGAAACATCTGAGCTCTGTGAAGATAATCTGGTTCTGCAGGGAATATCTGATTTCCATGAAGGGCGTCTGACTTTGCATGAAGCATCTGAGCTCTAATGAAGGGCGTCTAGTTTTGCAAGGAGTATTTGATCCCAGTGAAGGACGTCTGGCTCCACACGGAGCATCTGAGTCCGGTGAAGGACGCCTGGCTTCGCATGGAATATTTGATCCCGGTGAAGAGTGTCTGATTCGGCATGAAGCTTTTGAGCCCGGTGTAGGCGTTTGATTCCGCAGGAAGCATATAACTGAGCCAAGTGAAGGGAGTCCAAATCTGCAGAGCGTCTCTGAGTCATGTATCTGGTTCCAAAAGACATCTGGTCTGGTCTGTAGGAATATCTTATTCTCTGATTACGTCAGGCACTATGAGAGTGCATTTGGTATGTCTGATATGAAGAACGTCTGGTACATCTGGCACTATGATGGTGCATCTGGTACATGTCGTACAATCTGAGGCATCTGGTACATGTCGCACAATCTGAGGCAAAGGAGAAGTCTGGTATATCTGGTAACAATGGTGGTGCATCTGATACATCTTTCTAGAGGATTCAAGTCAAGGTGGAGATTTGTTGGCATGCCTTGAATCCTTATACGTAGAA